CACGTTGTCCGTCCGTAACATGAAACCAAAATCGCGAATGTAGAGTTGGCATATTCAAGGTGGATTAACGGATGTCACAAGTTGTGACAAGTCAAACGATTGTTGTAGCTTGTTCAAGAAAACTCATGACACAAGAGAAGATGTATATTTATAAATAAATATTCAAAAAACTTGTAATCGCCTGTATCGGATTGCCTGTCGATCAATAAAAAGATTCCTACCTTGTCTCTGTATAAAGCGCCTGCTCGCGAGTTATATTTTTCTTGTATGGACCAATTTGGGTTGTAGTCTTTTTGAGATTTGAAAAACTGTTTAGCTTTTCTATTTCCTCCAACCTAAAATTTCCATCAAGTAAGAATAAATCCATGCTCAAACAAGCTTGAAAGTTGACGAGAGCGGGCAAGCAAGAGTTTGTATGAGACTCTCGTGCCTCCGGTAAAACTCGTGAAAACAAAAGTTGCATATTGAGAGTTGATATTGAGAGTTGATATTAAGAGTTGACGAAGAGTTAACAAAAACTCATAAAAATTTAACCAGCACAAAGCTGACGAGATTTGATGAGAGTCGACAAGAGTTGGCGGTTAACGCGAGGTGAAGGGACGAGACTCCTAGAGGGGGCGGACTGATTGGGTGCCAGGCCTCGAATTTCCCTGAAATCAATCGACGGCAATGGCGTTAAATATTGCCGAAGAACGTAACAGCTGTCTACGGCAATTCTGGCACTTTCTACGGCATTTTTTCAAATAATTTTATTGTTACTTTGGATTGTTGACAAGCTAGAAACATGTTAACGTATTTCTTTAGTGTTTTTTCTCGAAGAAAACTGAGACGAAAATAGTAGTTTACGCATGATTTGATCAACATCCGAACTCAAGTATCAAAATAGTAATGCACAGTGCATGAATAGTATAAAAATTACACTATACGGCAAAAAATTGCCGTCGTTGCCGCAGTGATCCACGGCATTCTGTTCTCCCTCTACGGCAATTGCCGCGATAAAATTCAAGCCCTGTTGGATGCATGTCCTCCTCCCTGAAATCGAAAGTTCTGAAGATTACAAAACGTCCTATAAAATCAGCAAAATAGTACTTTTCTGCACGACCAGTTCGGAATCATTAAATCTTCAGTTTCAATTTTGATATTCTGAAGTAGTGAAGATGAAAAGAAGGAAGTACTTTACTGTTTATTGCTGAAATTTCGTTTAATATAAATTCTGTCGAGACGAAAGTAGGCGGCCGCATATAGGAAAGTAGTCAGTCGTTTTGGCTGGCCCTTCATGATAGCTCTCGTCAAATCTCATCCTCGTTTGGCCTTTACTGAATTTGAAATTCTTTGTTTGCAATCACATGACTTTTCATCCAAATGACGGGCAATCAAACACCTTGTGGACAATTTTTCTCTTATCAGAATAGTTGTAGCAAGAAAAACTGAACAGTAATTCATCTTTTGAGTCTTAAACTGGTTCTAAACTCATTAAATAATATAACATTACAATGGCCATTTTTGTTATCCCTCCCCGTCAACTGAAATCCAAAAAATTACGTCATTGCAAACAAACAATTGCTTTCCATAGCAGACGACGTTCTGGTATTTTATCACGAAGCCCATTTAATAATTATTACCCTTTTCCAAAGCTGGCTATGACTCTAGTGAAATGAACGATTATTGTACTACAATATACAGTACCTTCATTTTCTCCAGCTCCGCATCTTTCCATTTGTCCATTGTCACTGAACGTACAAAACTAGAATTTTAGAAAAACGTAATAATATACACTTGTAAAATTCATCAATTGTTCATGACGACAATTCACAAGTAATGAGTTGTTGTATCCACAAATACAGAAATCTCCTGATTTGCATACAGACATGCATTATTATAGTAAATTTCCCCGATTTCCTTAGCTAAAACGCCCATTTGTGATTGGCAAACCAAATGCAATACACTTTACAATACAGGTCTGGTCCATATTAATAAAATATGGACTTGACTTCAAGTGTAAGATATTTAGGGAAATTCAATACAAATGTTGATTTAATTTATGGATATTTAATTATTTATTGGGTGGAAACCAGACTATATATAATATTATTAATATGAACTTGCACGTTGCAGGGTTTTTTTTCACCTAATATGTACTGTGTAAGCAAACATTAAATGGGCTATCTTGAAAAACCAATTTTTTACAAGAAAAATGGGGGATTTCTTGAACAAAACCAACTAAGATGGTATAATTAGCTGCATACAGTACTACAGTACTGTATTTTATACAACTAATCACACTACAGTATGTATTCTAGCCAGTAGGTCTAGATACAGTCTGAGTTACTAGATAGTTCCTCGTGTTTACACTATGATGGTGCAGCCATCGATGGATAATCTAGAGTGCAGCAGCTCGCTATCAATGGCATTTTTCATGTAACATGTGATCGTGCATTTGTGGGTGGCAATTTGTGGTAGAAATTTACTGTTCTGCACTTATTCTGCATTTAGAGATATTATTATGGTTACACATAAATTGCAAAACATTTTGTGGAAAATATAACAACATCTGCACAACAAAACTGGCATTAATTAAAGAAACTTTTCAATATTTCTATACAGAACTGCAAATAATACAAAACTG